ACACAAACACAAACACACACACAAACACACACACAAACACACACACAAACATAAACACACACACACACACACACACACAGTAGATTTGCTATTAACTAACTGATATGATATGATATATTATCGTAGATGCTAAATACTTCTAGGACATATTCTGAATTTATTTAGCATTATATTAAACACTCATCAGCATTATAAGTGTTTTGTGTATTCTCCGAAAGGCGAGTGTGTTTCACCTTGGCGTTCTCCTCCTGCCACTTGCTCTTGGTCTCGTCCAGTGAGCTCTGCAGTTTGACTCTCTGCATCTCCATCTCATTCAGTCGATCCTGAGCGTCTCGTTTCTGATGTTCCAGTTCCTGCAGATCCACATTCTCTCTCTCCAGACCTCTCTGCTCCTCCTAAACAACATCATGAATATATTTGAATTGCAAAGGCAAAAACTAACACAACAGAAACAAGTACTGCATTGTGTGTTATGCCCACAAGAGGGCGGAAGCCAGCAGATTATGCAAATCAAAATTAAATCAAGCGTCAATTTTTTATAGAAATTAAATGACGCTCACTTTTTAAAGTGCATAAAGTGAGGGAAATAGTGTAAGGGAAATCAAGTAAAACCGTGTGCATCAATAATCCGAAAATACATGCTTCAACAGGGTAATGACAAACACTAAATAGCAAACTGCCATTCAGTATCGAGCTGCTCAATCACTACACATCTACATACTGTTCGTCCAAAACAGAGATTAGCACAGATCTATTTAATGTGAAACATACGAATAAACTTTCAAGTATGTTTACAGTACAAAATGAGCGTGAACACTACTAATAAAAGCTATTTATAAGATCATTTCTTAATAGTGCAATATACACTCACCAGTCAAGTTATTAGGTACACCTGTCTGATTGCTTGTAAACGATAATTTCTAATCAGCCAATCACATGGCAGCAATGACATGGTCAAGGTGATCTTAAATCCCCTGACAAGCATCAGGGGATTTAAGTGACTGTGAATGTGGCATGGTTGTTGGTGCCAGATGGGCTGGTCTGAGTATTTCAGAAACTGCTGATCTACTGGGATTTTCACGCACAACCATCTCTAGGGTTTACAGAGAATGATCTGAACAAGAGAAAATATCCAGTGAGCGGCAGTTCTGTGGGGGCACATGTCTTGTTGATGCCAGAGGTAAGAGGAGAATGGCCAGACTGGTTCCAGCTGATAGAAAGGCAACAGTAACTCAAATAACCACTCGACTTTGATGCTTCTTTAGGGCATCACATAACAGATGTGCCGCTCAGAGCCGCAGCACGGCGCGCACATGACAGTTGATAGTATCGCACACCAGACACGCACATTCGCATGTTATTTAAAATGCAAATATTCCGATGGCGCTCTGTGGCGAGGCAGAAATATGAACAGTGTCCTGAGTCGTGGCTGGGCGCTGCCAACAGCCGCCGACTTGCGAATTCTAAATTGTATAGTGCTGCGCGGCACGTTGCCGAGCGGTGTTTCTGGTGTGCGACCTGCTTTACTTCCTTGTTGCAGCACCAGTGGCACCAGAATTAGGCACCGAAATTCATATGCTGATTCGGTCCAGTGCACACCGGTTCCAAAGGTACCGGTGCCATTTCGGTACCCAACCCTAGTGGCGACCCCTGATAAATAAGGGACTAAGACGAAGGAAAATGAATGAATGAATAAATTTGATGACTATTTAAAATTCTAAATATTTTTGACAGCCCTACTCACAAGAAATAAGAAATACCCTCACCTAAACCTAGGGAAAACACTATAATTCATTGCTAGTTTTGTTCACTTTAGCTATTATCAGCCTCACCTGGATTTCGCTGTTCCTCTGTCGCAGGACTTCCTCTTTCTGCCTGATTTCAGTCTCTAACACGCGTTTCTCACTAAGCACCAAAAAATCAGAGAAACATAAAAGTGTGTAAAAAGAGCAGAACATAATAAGTAACTTCAGGAATGGGAGATGTCTGGTCGCAATTCTCCACACATGCACTTTCTGACCTCTGCAGCTGTGAGATCTCCTGGCTGATGTCATCCAGATCCTTGATTCCCAACAGCTCAACCTTTCCAACAGAACTGCTGCTGCTGTCCTGGAAAAACCATGTTATGTAAGAGATACAGTCATACTCTGTCATCAAGAATAGACACATGTAATTATACAGTACATATGTGTGAGCACTAGAGGGCGCTCTCAATGCATGATCATAAACAAATGTTAAAGCACACAAAACATTGTAATATATCAAGTTTAAATTCTTGATAAATGTACTTGATCTTAAAAGCAATTATTCATGTGTGATCTTTGCTTAAAATAATAATAATAATAATAATAATAATAATAATAATAATAATAGCTGGCATTCTTAACATTTATTAATGTGTTGTTTTTCTTTGGGTTTTCTTTTCTTCAGGTTTTCCTGCACATTTTTCATATTAAACTTGTATACTTATTTGTAGGCTTTTTAGGCAATATTTTGCATCTGATCAATGGTTTTAAAATCCATTGCTGTGTGTACATTACATTCTGATTATGCAAGTTGCCAGCTACTGTAAGAGCCAGAATACTACAACCAGATGCAAATCTATAATACCAAACTCAGACCAGTTCAAGGAGCAGAAAAACAAAAACTGTCAGTGAAATATGTTTGTTATTACCATTTCATTTTTTTTGCATGCATTTTTCATTAAACTAATAGGATAGAATTAATTACATTTATTTGTAACATTCAAAACACTATTTAGAATACAATTATTAAATGATGCATGTTAACAACAGCAAATGCATTAAACAAACAACACATTTAATGGCTTTATGATCCTTTTTTTAATATTAATTAACAAAACACTGATGTTTTCATGAGGCATCGCTAAAATGAATACATTTTCTCCATATATAAATAAAATTTTCTGATAAAGCAACCAAGAAAATAATAATATTAACAAATTATATTATAGCTCATTCAAAGTTCTTATGGTCAAAGTAACTTGGATTAGTTTACATTAAAATTAATGTATTTTCACCTACACTCACTGGCCACTTTATTAGGTATACCTTACTAGTACCAGGTTGGATCCCCTTTTGCCCTTAGAACTGCCTTAATCCTTCGTAGCAGAGATTCAACAAGGTACTGGAAATATTTCTTCTATTCAAAATAGAGATTTTCCTCCATATTGACATGATAGCATCACGCAGTTGCTGCAGATTTGTCGGCTGCACATCCATGATGTGAATCTCCCGGTCCACCCCATCCCAAAGGTGCTCTATTGGATTGAGAGCTGGTGACTGTGGAGGCCATTTGAGTACAGTGAACTCATTGTCATGTTCAAGAAACCAGTTCGAGATGATTCATGCTTTATGACATGGTGCGTTATTCTGCTGGAAGTAGCCATCAGAATATGAGTACACTGTGCTCATAAAGGGATAGACATGATCAGCAACAATACTCAGACAGGCTGTGGCGTTGACAACATGTTCAATTGGTACTAATGATCCCAAAGTGTGCCAAGAAAATATCCCCCACACCATTAAACCACCACCACCAGCCTGAACCAGGTAGGATGGATCCATGCTTTCATGTTGTTGATGTCAAATTCTGACCCGACCATCCGAAAGTTGCAACAAAGCATTTGCGCCCACAGAACTGCCGCTCACTGGATATTTTCTCTTGTTCAGATCATTCTCTGTAAACCCTAGAGATGGGTGTGCGGTAGATCAGCAGTTTCTGAAATACTCAGACCAGCCCATCTGGCACCAACAAGCATGCTACGTTCAGTCACTTAAATTCCCTTTTGTCTCCATTCTGATGCTCGGTTTGAACTGCAGCAGATCGTCTTGACCATGCCTACATGCCAAAATGCATTGAGTTGCTGCCATGTGATTGGCTAATTAGAAATTCACATTAACAAGTAGTTGGACAGGTGTACCTAAAAAAGTGGCCGGTGATCTTTTAAGCTCTGTTGATATGGATTAATAAATCAAATCAAGATTATTTTTAAAAAGAAAGTTAAGAACTATCTATTTTCAGTGTTTAATACAGAATCATAACCAATCCCATAAAGAAAATATAGCTAAAACACTTACCCTGCTAAAATTGGTAAGTGGAGTCAATGGTGTCAATTCAGATCCCACTGACGGTGTGTATGCAGAGAGAATCTGGAGATGAAATTTTTTTATATCAGATCACAGAGGAGCAATGTTTTTACAAATGTTAAGACTATATGATGCTGTCCAAAAATCTCTAATGATCAATTATTATTTATAATGTTCTTTAGAGCTGTAATGCACTCCAGAATCTGACAGATTGATTAGCTGTAGGCTCTAGAACAGTTACGTGAAGCGTTGTCATACAGTGTTAAGCTGGATTTCATCAATAGCCTTGCATTTACTAACACAGACTGTACTTGAAGTACTTGAAAGTAATTCGCGTTTTCCTCCTGTTGAAAAAAGTCATAAGAACAATGTGTAGTGGCTCAATGTATTACAGCAGTGTTTTTAAAAGAATAAACACTTTATTGATATAGTGTACAACCAAACCCTTGTGGTCAGAATACAAAAGAGTCGCAGGTAATGAAGGGTTAAGCGTTTCTCCCAAAGAAAAGCCTGTCTAATGCAAAAATGCTAGCAGGCGTCTGTAGCTCCGCTCAAGCTCCACCTCTTTGCCCTTGTTTGGTGTCCCGCGGTGGGTGTGATGACTAGCTTCATTTGCGCTCTTCAGATACCTATGGGTGACGTCACGGATACTATGTCCATATCTTTACATATACAGTCTGTGGTATTATATCATTTTTGCATCATATAAAAAAACGAATTACCGATTATGCGAAGCGTTTTAAATTCAATTCAATTCAGCTTTATTTGTATAGCGCTTTTACAGTAGCCGCATTTCCACTATCGGGCCAGTGCGAGCCAGGGCTTTAATCGGGCCGGCCGGGCCAATAGCCCGCGAGGTTGAGAAATGAGGCCGAAATCATGTCGCGTTTCCACTGACGGGCTAATAGCTCACAGCGCGTCACGCAAACACCGCCCACAGAATGTCCCCGAATCAAACGTCACACAACCCGCCCACTTCAGATAAAGCACACCCTAGAATCATCACGAAACGAAACCATTAAAATGAAGACAACCGAAACAAACAAATGACACGTTACTGTACAGCAGTACATGAAATGTCTATACGCACAGACCTGTGTATTTCCATTCATTACATTTGTTTACTCGCCGACCGACTGGCATTGTGCATCGAGTGCTCTCGCCGAACGCAGGGACCCATCACAGAGAGCGCACACATCCATAATATAAAGCCACAGAAATTCTCCTTTATAGCTCGATATTGCATGTATTTTATAACATCCTCGTTTTGATAGAAGTCGTGTTAAGTGTTTTAGCATAAGAGCGAGTAGCCTTAAAAAATATAGCCATATTTGTTGCGCTCGGCAGCTATTCACTAAAGCTCTTCATTTAAAGGTTCATTTATAAATTTAACCACGTCATATAAAAACATAAACAGTTGTTTGAGTTTATAGAACACATTTTGTGTTTGGACTTTCCCCCATATGCGTTTAAAGCAGTGAGCGCTGCGCATAGGACTGAGTGACAGAAAAAAAAAGGTAGGCTAGATTCTGCTTTCACTCACCCAAATAATGCTCTGTTTGCGCGATTTGATTAATATCATCGTATCCAAATACTTTATAAATAATATTTCAAACCTTCTCCGGTGTTAATTGTTTTTATAAAATATCGAAAATCTTTTTTTTTCAGACAGGTCTTTGTAAAATGAAAGTTATAGGCTATATATGTGGCTTTAAAACGGTTCGATTTATGTATTGTATATAGGGTACCTACATATAGCTAGCTTTTGTTTATTTTATATTGGTTTATTTATTTAATGTGATTTCATATTTATCCGACATTTGTAGTTCTTTAAATTATATTTCATTAAAGCTTAGGCTTTTTTATCAAGATATGACACTATATTGTTTAAAGTCTACGAAAGTGGCCACGTATTTTGTTAAGTTTTCCTTCTGTTGTATTTATATTGTGTATTATCACCAAAATAAATAAAGAAAAAAGCCGCTCGCGGCATAACAGAGCTGTGAAGGAGCGCTTTAGCCCGGTCTCACACACACATACAGGCATCTAAACGCGCACAAACAAACATTTTAAATTTGACAAAAACTCTCGAAAACCTTTACTGTCTGCTGTGTCTTTAATATGGTGTAAAGATTATTATGCGTTATTGAAACATAAAGGAGGACGCAGCAAAAAACGTCACTATAAATTAAAACTACTTTATTATTTTATGCAGCAGCCTTACATTTAAAATGGAAACATAAGGGTGATCATACGCAAAAAGACCCCAGACTATAAGGCTAGATGTTTTCTTTCCCTTATTTCTTTGGCGCATGTACTCATGTGCGATCAGAAAACTGCCCGCCTCTCCTTTCACTCCGCCCCGAAGCCCCAGCTGGCCCTCCTTGGCCCAAGGTATTCGGCGGGCCGAAAAAGGCCGGCCGCTGGCCCCAAGAAAGCCCCGCTTTGGCCCGATTAGGCCCCGGAAGTGACAGTGGAAACGCCACTGGCCTTGGCTCGCCCTGGCTCGCTCGCTTTAGGCGCGATAGTGGAAACGCGGCTAGTGTAGATTGTGTCAAAGCAGCTTCACAAAAATGGTCATAGTAACTGGAACAGTGTAGTTCAGTTTTTTAGTGTTTAAGTTCAGTTCAGTTTAGCTCAGTTCAGTGTGGTTTAAAACCATTACTGAGAGTTCAAATACTGAAGAGCAAATTCATAAATGCAGTGCCTATAGTGGACAGAGAATAAATCTGACGTTACTCTCTCGTCTGACTGCCGTTTTCAGTCATCAATCACACAATTTTTTGTCCTTTTTCTGAAGTCTTGATAACACCATCGTGGAGTTTTTCTTTTATTATTTTAGCAAGTAGAATTGTAAAATAATTATTTGCTGTACTCTCCCATTTACTGCACTCTAAGTTTACCACCTATAACAACTTCTGCTGCTGAGAAACCCGGAAATGTGATATAAAGTCAGATCATTTTTGATGTCCTGATATGAAAAAACTGCCAATTCACATTATGTACTAACTTTTTTTCTTCCCATGACTGTAAATGTAAGGTGGCTCGGTGGCTCAGTGGTTAGCACTGTCGCCTTACAGCAAGAAGCTTGAGTCCCGCCTGGGTCAGTTGGCATTTCTGTGTGGAGTTTGCATGTTCTCCCCGTGTAAGTGTATGTTTTCCCCACAGTCCAAACACATGCACTATAGGTGAATTGATGAACTAAACTGGCCGTAGTGTATGTGCATATGTGCTAATAAGAGTTTGTATGGGTGTTTCCCAGTACTGGGTTGCTGTCGGAAGGGCATCCGCTGCTTAAAAAAATATGCTGGAATAATTGGCGGTTCATTCCACAGTGGCGACCTCTGATAAAAAAAGGAAAGAAAATGAATAAATGAATGAATGTAAATGTGTTTGTCACTCACAGGAGTGTTAGCAGCTCCTCTCTCTGATGGTGGGATCATTTCAGGCGTCAGACTCTTCGGAGGCTCCACTCCTTTAACCCTCTCCTGAATCAAATGCATCGCCAGACAGAACTGCTCTTTGGTGAGTTTGCCGGTGCCCTTGGTGTCTGCCAGCGACCTACAGAGCGCAAGCACAAAAACAAAGAGAATGTGTTACATCCCATAAGCCAATTTCAGTTCGTTTACAGGGTTTCTCAAAGTCTATTTAAGAGCAGCTCATATGGTATTGTCCTAATATTAATAATTAACTATAATTATAAATATTGAGCTGGAATCTCCTACAACAACATACAGTTAAAGTCAGAATTATTAGCCCTCCTGTATACATTTCCCCCAAATTCTGTTTAACGGAGAAGATTTTAACGCATTTTTAAGCATAATAGTTTTTTTTTTTTATTATAATTTTTGCAGACAAAAAAAACAAAGAACAGACAGACAAACTCATTGTGAGACAATAATCTGTGGAAAATGTAAAATAAAGCAAGAAACAAGAGAAAATGGCGACATACAAAACACATATGACCTACAAAAAGACACAGCAATGGATGTAGAGAGAAAAAAAAAAACTTACAAATCTTCAGAAATTAAACGACACCCTTACGGCACATTCACACCGGGCTTCAGCGTCAACGCTTGACTGAAGGGGTTTCTAAAGTTGGCACTGAAGCGATCGTCAAAGCAGCGTCAGCCAATGAAATTCAGTCAGCAATAGGTTACTGTCTAGCTTAGCTGGTGTATTTGCATACAGCGATCTGATTGGCTGACACTTCCGTCTTGAGAAGTTGAGCTAGAACCAACTTCTGCAGCGAGCAACGCCTCTGAAGCGGCGCCGATGGATCCACAATGCAGTTCGGCGACGCCTGGCGTCACCCATTCAAAGTGAATGGGAAGCGTTGACGCTGACGCCCCGTGTAAATGGGACATTAGTCTTTATGGTGTTTCAGAAAAAAAAAGACTGGATCCCACATTTTATCAAATTTCGCAGAGTTCCCAGAGGTGGTATATCTTATTCTTTCCAAATGTAAAGTGGAGGTGAGTCTGACAATCCAATCACAAAAAAGTGGTCTAACATTTTTTTTTTACCAAAAACGATAACTTTTTTAGCTATGATCACGCCATACTGAACAGGTAACCGTACATTTCGGTTGAGTCTCAAGAAACTCTGACCAGCCAAAAATTGCTATCAATTTTGCTATTGGGTCAGGAAGTAAAACCTAAACATAATTCATTTCTAATAACTGATTCTTTGCCATGATGACAGGACATAATATCTGACTGGATATTTTACAAGACACTAGTATTCAGCTTAAAGTGACACTTAAAGGCTTAACTAGTTTAACTAGGTAAGTTAGGGTCATTGTATAACAGTGGTTTGTTCTGTAGATAATCCAAAACAAATATAGCTTAAGAGGGCTAATAATATTGACCTTAAAATGGCTTTAAAACTATTAAAATCAGCTTTTATTCTAGCCAAAATAAAACAAATAATACTTCATATCATATCTTTTTAATGCAAGTACTTTCATGAAGCGTGTATGTATTTTTTATGACCCCTTTGGACACGGTGTCAGTGTCTCACCATATGTGTGCCAGGACGCTCTGCGGCAGCCGGGAGTTCATGAAAATGTCCTTCACTTCACCTCCTCCAACCATCCCATCGAAATCGGAGTCAGCCAGTTCAAAGATCTCCTCGTACTGCTCTCTGTCATCCGCCGGCACCACCCAGTGGTCAGACGACGCCTGCAAATACACACATACAGCTGAAGTCAGAATTATTAGCCCTCCTAAATTATTAGTCCCCCAATTTCTGTTTAACTGAGAGATTTTTTTCAATATTTCTAAACATAATAGTTTTTAAAACTCATTTCTAATAACTGATTTATTTGATCTTTGTCATGATGACAGCACATAATATTTGACTAGATATTTTTCAAGACAGCTTAAAGTGACATTTGAAGGCTTAACTAGGGTAATTAGGCAAGTTAAGGTAATTAGGCAAGTCCTTATATAACAATGATTTGTTCTGTAGACAACCAAAGACATTTTTGATTCTTGATTTATGATTCTTAAGCAATATTTGTTAAACACCATTTGGGAAATAACAACAAAAACCAGTCCAAGGCATTTAAAAAATGTGGAAAATGTAAAAAGCCTTTATTCACATGGCTAATCCTTCCAAAAAAAAAACTTCGCATTTAGGCAAGGAACTGCCTTCATCATTAATTGTTAAATGATTGTTTGATGATCAATTAAAGATGATAGTTGACCTTGTTTGTCATGTTATTTAAGGGTTGTTAAGATATTTAAATGAGTCATGTGACCGTAGCACTCAAAAGAATCTCTAGACACACCTGGGGCCTCATGTATCAACGCTGCGTACGCACAAAAACTTTGCGTACGTCAGGTTTCATGCTCAGAATCGCTCACGTTTGGATTTACTAACGATGAACTGAACGTGGGAATATGCGCAGCTCCACGCCAACTTCATGCCTGGCGTACGCACATTTTTTTGTGCGTGTCTGTTTTATTTTCATTGGCGACTCCTAGAGGCAGTTTGATTTGTTTGTGCCCAAATAGACACTCCCACACCATCCCACTTTAGTTCATCCGACACTCCCCCCTAAACAGAGCTGGACACGCCCACTTTTCTGACTTTTTCCAAAGTAGAGGCGTGAAAACACCCTGCTGAAACGAGGGGGTTTCATGGCCCTTTAAAAACTGCTCGTTTTGCTGCTTGATGTTGCAAACTGTTGCTTTCTTATTATATTATTCTACCTGGTCTGTATAGTCATGCAAACACTTGTTTGTAGAGCAAGTAGTTTGACCGTTTCAGGCGATTGTTCTAAAACAATCGCGAAAACAGGCACACTTCTGCATTTTAGAATAAGGTCAATAACAAACTGTGCAATAGTTATCTGAGTATAATTTTGTTTTGTAATGTAATGTAATGTGTATTTTCATAGCGCATTTATTGTGTATGGCCATACACCCAAAGCACTTCACAATCATGAGGGGGGTCTCTCCACACCACCACCAGTGTGCAGCATCCACTTGGATGATGCGACGGCAGCCACAGGACAACGGCGCCAGTGTGCTCACCACACACCAGCTACTGGTGGAATGGAGAGACAGTGATAGAGCCAATTCGGTGGAAGGGGATGATTGGGAGGCCATGATCGTAAGGGCCGATAGAGGGACTTTGGCCAGGACACTGGTTTTTAATTGGTTTATATTTCCTATAACTATATGTTTATATATTTATGAAATTATAAAAGCTTACTATGTTAGGTTTTATAGTGTTTGATGGTTTTTATGTTCTTAATCAAGTGTTAATCAGAGAGTTCAATCCCACCCAAACACCCCTATAATTTGCACTCTGCAATAAAGAACAGATGAGAATGCAGTTGGACCGGTATTAGTTCAGGATTTTCAGGTTTGCACAAGCATGTTTACCTGTGTTTGCGTTTGTGGTGGAGTCGGGGTGGAGCGATTGAAGGAATTTGATGGAGATAGATTTGTGCTGCTGCCCAGAGGACTCTTGGAAAGCGCCGGCGTGGGCCGTAGGTTCTCCTTGAGGAGGAATGGACTAGAGGGAAGAACAGGAACGGATCCCGGAAGAGCGCCTGCTATCTTCTTACGCTTGGAAGGAGGGATGAGAGATGTCGGGAGGCTGGATGGCACAGGCTCCTTCTCCCTGGCAGCGTAAACCAGGTGCATCGCCTGCAACAGGCAAACAATTCAATAAAATGAGCACTAGAAATAGAGTACTTAAAGAGATATTTATTTATCCTATTTATTTTGATGTCCATGGCAAACAAACCAGGTGCGAGTGGCAAATAAAATAAAATAAAAGCAAATAAAAGCAAAACAAAAAATAAAATAAACAAAATAAAAAAATAAATAAAATAAATAAAATTAAATTAAATTAAATAAAACAAAAAAAAAATAAATAAAATAAAACAAAACAAAATAACATAAAATAAAATAAAACAAAAAAAAATAAAACAAAACAAAATAAAATAACAAAATAAAATAACAAAAAATAAAATAAAACATAAAATAAAACAAAATAAAACAAAAAAATATATAAAATAAAATAAAATAAAATAAAATACAATAAAAAATGAGCGTACTGGAGCACTTAAAGGTATAGTTCACCTAAAACAAAATTAATTTAGCCATACTTTACATAATTTGCTTACGATAGCTGTTACATTTCTCTTTTAATTAGGCTGTTGCATAAAATAATAAAGTTTTCATTTCTAAGTGACATTCTTTGCTGCGTCCTCCTTCATGTTTTATCAACGGATAACAATCTGTACACCATATAACAGACACAGCAGCCAGTAACGTTTTTCAAGAGATTTTGTCAAGTTTAAAAGGTGTGTTTGCGCAGGATAATGGTGTCATAAAATACGATGACAGACATTCAAACCTTAATTTTAATATCTCAATAGAATAGAACATGACTTCTTACGGTCAGAATGACCAGTATGGTAATTCTAATAGTTACAGAATTCTAGTTCCACTGTTAGTAAGGCCTACTCTTGTGTCTGTGTTAACACAGAATGAAGCGAGAGCATCGATGCCCATTCTGGCCAATCACAGATGTTTCTCCTGAGCTCCATTCAGCTCATGCTACATCTGACATGACACTACATCTGACCGCACGTGGGGTCAAGTTGGCCGACTGCTCTGAAATATTCAGCATGCTAGATATTGGATTTTCCTCTGCAAGGTGTTAAGGACGCGTCAGCCAGCCTCTTTGATGCGTTCTTCAGAAGTTCACACATGAAGACTGCCGAGTGCTGAGCACCCCCAGATTTTTTAACAATCACAGCCCAATCTGTCGGCTTGCTTGTTGACTTCCAAATCGGGCTTGAAATCCTGTAGTGTGAACTAGGCTTGATGAAAGCAGATTCTGTTTGATGCATCGATTGACTCACCACTGAAAACTCATCTTTATCCAAGCTTCCATCTTTGTCAATGTCACTGAGATCCCAAATCTAAAAAGATAATAAAGAAAAAAATAATACAGTATATTCATTTTTTAAACGCCAACAACAACAACATCAAACAGGTTAAATATAAAGATTTTGTTGCATCTTTTATGTCCTGTATTGGTCTGAATTTTGGAAATAGTATCTATTAGTGCTCAAACTTTCTTATGTTTGTGTATGGAGCATATACACATTACCATTCAAACATGTTTGAGGTCAGTGTGTTTTTAAAATTTGAAGAACATTTACTTAGCAATAATAAATCACAACAAAATATATCAATTTTAAAATATAGTATTACAGTTTAAATTTAAATGTATTAATATATTAAATTTGCATATAAAAATGTTCTAAGATAAATAAATTAATATATCAAGAATATTATGGAGCTTATGTTAATGGAGCCATGAGGAGATGCTGATTTAAAGGGATAGTTCACCCAAAAATAAAATTTCGGACATAATTTACTTCATGAGTTTTTGTTGAACACAAAGTAATATATTTTGGAGAAAGCTAGAAACCAGTAACCATTGACTTCCACAGTATTTGTTGTTCCTACAATGGAAGCCAAAGGCTACAGTTTTGCAACTCATAAAAGGTCTGAAACCACTTGAGAGTGAGTATATAGCAGAGGTGGGACCAAGTCATTGTTTGGCAAGTCACAAGTAAGTCTCAATTCATTGCCCTCAAGTCCCGAGTCAAGTCCCGAGTCAAGACAGGCAAGTCCCGAGTCAAGTCCCGAGTCAAGTCCCGAGTCAAAGGCAACAAGTCTCAAGTCAAGTCCAAAGTCCTGCAGTTTGATTTTCGAGTCTTTTCGAGTCTTTTTAACAGAAAAATAAAATATATACAGATTAGGTATGGCTGTAAGATCTGTATTAATTAAACAAACCTTTTTTTTATGAAAGAACATCGCTCAGATATATAAAAATACAAATGCAATTTTCTGAAAAAGTACTGAACAGTGCTGCGTCTCGTCTCCACAGCATAATGCACAAGAAAGAGTTCCACCAAAAAAAGACTCCATTTTGCCTCACATCACACAGAAATTGCAGGTCTACTGCTGTCTAATTCATTAAGTTTAGTTGTGCTATATTATGTCTTCGGTGATCAACTTGTGATTAACCAAAATTACATAACCTCAATGTGGTAGCAGTAGACCAACTCCTGTATATGCTGCAAAGTTAAATTGAGTGAAATTGGAATATTGCCAATTGAATCTCGTGTGTGCTAAAGAGATGGAGTTGCAAATCCGTCTAGCAGCAATGTAAAATGGTAGCACATATTGTTAATGAAGTAGGCTACTTCATACAAACAATAACGTTGTTTTCTTCACATAACGTTGAAGAGCTTTGCTCTCTACCTTGTGTGATGCTCGTGCACGGATTTCCTCTGTTTGTGGACAAAACTGATTGCGAGTTCTCAAATATACGCTGCTCACGCGCAAATTTTCTCTCGCTCTCAAATATGCACTGCTCACACACAAATTATCTTGAGCGCTCTCAGAGATTATATGCAAACTCACAATTTGTGTCGTGTTCCCTCTTCCTTTCATGCTTTTTGATATGATTCATATTGCTGCACTGTTTAATAACAATAACCAAAATACTAAAATAGACTTACATATTAAATGTTTAATCTAATAAACCATAACATTTTTGGTTGTTTTATATGATGAGATATTTTCAGTTTCAAACACTTAAAGACAGAGAATAGACCAGTGGTGCCCCCCTGAAAATTTGCTTAGGGGTGGCCAGAAGAGGCCAGCTACGTCAGTGGCACCAATCAATCCACAATAATTTAGTGGCTGCTATTTATTTATTGAAATATTGCATTGTATTGCATTTATGTAAGTAGATTTAAATAAATAATGTCAACAGCAAAATCATATCGGGTTGGCCACAGGGGTGGCTAGAGTTTACACAGGGGTAACACCCCTTGTAAAGGGGTTTACACCACTATAAGGCACCCCTGGAGTAGATGTTGAATGTAAAGAATACATTTTATTTTAAAAGCATTTAAACAAAAACTAATGCAAGCAGAAATGTAACTGTGATAAAAATAAGGAAACACTTGATAAGGTATTATAGCCTACTGTACTATTCACTCTTCAAATAAATCTCACTATCAATCTCATTTTATCATGGCAGCTAAAATAAAGTAAACTAGTGTCTGCTGGCTTCCACTTTACTGATGAGATTGTGGAGGACATTTTCCATGTCATCCTCTTCATTTTGAGGAAAGCTGTTCCACAGGGCCCCTGAACACGTATATTGGCATGTACTGTGTTTTGAACAGTAGCCTACTACAGTAAAGAACTCCAATTGATCAGTTGTGGTAATACTATAGTTGCTATGGTAACACAAGTGTAATATAAACAAATTACCCAGTGCTGTATTATTTTACAATATAGGGTATTTTATACTACAAATCACTACACTTTACTGTAGTAAAACTACACTTTGTATTATTTTATCTGTTCACTATTGGTAATACTACTGTATTATGAAGCATTCATTAACAAGTCGTAAATAATACTAGCCTAAAACATAAGTATAATACAAGTATACAACAAGTATAATACTCAAAAACACTAGAATTTATTAAAGAATTTACCTTAACCTTTTAGTATTTTGTGTATTGTAAATAAAAATAGTAAAGCAAGAAAGAAACCATATCAACATTCTTGGAATAACCCTTTGCTAAGCCTCGCCCTCCTTAGTTACTGTTGCTACGCCTGTCAAGCTTTCATGCCTGGCACATCTATTACAGTGTGTATGCGCTGGTGTCAGACCTTCCCAAGGATTTAATTAGTCATTTTTGGCAAACAGGTGAGATATCTGAGAAAGCCAGACAAAAGAGGACTGCAGTATACATTACAGGGGTATATTCACAACATAATAGCAACTGATTAGAAAATAATTTTATCAAAATTGAAGCAAGGTTAGCCTAGCAACCTCATATGCTGAACATTCAACAGCATAGTTCATGCACAGCAGGAGAGGTGAAATTTTAAAATAATCTAATAACCTAAGAAACTGATGGATTTGTGCCGAATATTAGCATCATTGACCCATAACAGTGTACAGTACCTATTACTGTCAGCATGTTTGTGTGCTCTTTATCCAGTTTTTATTAAAATTTGCAGTTAAGTGGAAGAAAAAAAATTGAAATGCAAATCAAAGTATAAATAACAGAAGTGAACAAATAGATTTTTCCTACCAGCAAATATTAGTGTATGTATTTATATGCGTTACAATAGCGAGGGTTTAAACTAAGCAGTGCTCATAATATCGAGTGGAAAAAAAGAAAAAGACCGCTGGGAAACATAACCTGCTTTGTTTTTTGTTTTTTTGTTTTTTTTATGATAAACACAGTTTAGATCTGTTTAGGATAAGAGGAGTGTGAGTTATTGCCACCTATCACTGAATTTGAATATCGAAAACAAAACCAACTTAACTCCTTTACCGCCCCTCACACAGCTTGATCCACGCTGGCATTTCTCCTCTTGGGCTTTGGTTTTGAAAAGGGAAACAATCCCACCACCCAGTCCAAACTTTTAGGATAGCGGGTGTCAGATTTGCACAATCCAATTGCGCAACGATTTGGCTTGTTTCCCTCGCTCGAAAGCTTGACAGAGCCCCTGCCCGTAGCTACGATTGGTAAGCCGCGATTGGTGGGTGCCGGTTTTTGGGCGTGGCTTAGCGAAGGGTTTAAAAGAGTTTAACAGGAGGATCCCGTGAGAGCAAAAGCACTAAAGGTATGAGACGCCATCGTAAACAAAAGTCAAGCGAACGCAAAGAGACTGAATGCACGAGAGAGAGAGAGAGAGGTGTATGTTGTATGTGTGAGAGAGAGAGAGAGAGAGAGAGAATGAGTATTGGCACGCGAGTATTGGCTCGATCTCAAGTTCAAATTCAAATTCTCTCTGCGTTCGCTTGACTTTTGTCCACTCCGGCGCCTCATAGTAGTCACGTTGGATACTGTCGAATCAAAACAATCTACCGTGCTTTGATTGGATGTCATGCCGAAAGCGCGCATGCTCACACACACACGCGCGCATGCTGTCACACACACACGCGCGCATGCTGTCACACACACACACACACACATAAACGGGGAGAGAGAGAGAGCGGTCCATGTCAACATACTTTTTTTATCTTTGGGCTTTTCATGGGAAGCAGCAAGTCTTTACAAGTCAATAGGGGCAAGTCCTAGTCAAAGTCCGAGTCATTTATGTTCAAGTCCAAGTCGAGTTGCAAGTCTTTTTATATTGTCAAGTCGAGTCTAAAGTCATCAAATTCATGACTCGAGTCTGACTCGAGTCCAAGTCACATGACTCGAGTCCACACCTCTGGTATATAGTGAATAAATTTTTATTTTCAGGTGAATTATCCCTTTGAGAAACATTACTAATGATTATAAATGTTAAAAACAGTTTAGCTTTTTAGTATAAAATAGATTAGATTAGTTTATTGTTATTACACATTTAGAGTTCAGAATAACGAAATGCTGTCAGCATCTAATCAGAGTGCAAATATAATCAAAAAGTGCAGCAGGTAAATAATATTTATATTATATTTATTTAATATTACCTAGTATTACATACAGTTTAAGTCAAAATGATTCGCCCTCCTGTGATTTTCTTTTTCAAATATTTCCCAAATGATGTTTAACAAATTCAGGAATTTTTCACAGTATTCCCTATAATATTTGTTCTTCTGGAGAAAGTCTTATTAGTTTTATTTCGGCTAGAATAAAAGCTGTTTTTAATTTTTTTTTAAACCATTTTAGGGTCAAAATTATTAGCCCCCTTAAGCAATATTTGTTTTAGCTTGACTCCAGAAAAAAACACTGTTATATAATGACTTGTCTAATTACCCTAAATTTAGTTAAGCCTTTAAATGTCACTTTAAGCTGTCTTGAAAAACATCTAGTCAAATATTATTTACTGTCATCATGGCAAAGATAAAATAAACCAGTTATTAGAAATGAGTTATTAAAACTATTATGTTTAGAAATGTGTTTTATTTTGCATTAAACAGATATTGGGGGGGATGAGAGATATACAGGAGGGCTAATAAATCTGACCGTTTGTTACAATATACAGACAGAGGTAGCATTATGAATATGAGTAACCTGGGTTGATAACAAAGATTATACAGGCAAGACATGATATAATACAATCACTATGGACTGATTAAACTATTTAAATTAGACAATAGATGTATGCACACGATAGCAGAAAAAAACATTCACCTTTCCAAGCACATCCAGAGGCAGGTTTGAGTTCATGAGGACTAGTTTCACTTTATCACCTGACAGCAGCCCACCGATCGGAGACAGACTCTCAAATATCCCGTCATACTTTGCTTTATCTTCCGGCTAGTGAAGCAAAACACAATGAAAAGGAGATAATGAAGCATGGAGTTATTATTCAAAAGTACAGTAAGTAATTTTGGCCACTAGAGTGCAGGTTTTCACAACAAACAAAGGCATAGATTGATTATGAGTGTGGAATTATGAGAGTTGGAAATACTGATCATGTGGAGAATTAGCAGTGCTGTTCTATCAGACTAAACACAGCTTTTTAAAAATATTTCCTAAATGATGTTTAACCAACAGTGACACAGTGGCTCAGTGATTGGCACTGTTGTCTCACAGCAAGAAGGATGCTGGTTCGAGCCCCAGCTGGGCCAGCTGGCATTTCTGTGTAGAGTTTGCATGTTCTCCCCATGTTCGGGTGAGTACCCTCCGGGTGCTCCGGTTTCCTCCACAGTCCAAATAGGTGAATTGAATAAACTAAATAGGACATAGTGTATGAGTGTGTGTGTGTGTGTATGGGTGTGTATGGGTGTTTAACAGTACTCGGTTGTGACTGGAAAGGCATCCGCTGCGAAGAACATATGCTGGAATAGTTGGCGATTCATTCCGCTGTGGCGACCCCTGATAAATAAGAAACTAAGCCAAAGGAAACCGAATGAATGAATGATTGTTTATACCTTCACTGTCCAGCTGGAATCAGCAGAAGAGCCAGTTATATTCAGCGACGGACTGCCAGCATCTCTCTGGAAAGCGAGCAGAAACACATATTTACATATACTGCTTTACTGGATGTTTTTATCCAGACTGACTTTCAAATCAAATCAGCATGCAAATAAAAGAGATTAACATCAGCAACCGTTGATATTGACAGTGATTTGAGATTATAGAAAATCTGACATTTTTTGGCATATCTGATATTAAAAAAAATTCAGAGAAAAATATGTTATCTGAACAGCATGAATACTGAGATATGCAACTTAATAAAAAGTGACATTTTTTATTGCCGTTTTTCTCAGTGGCTTTGGTGCATTTCTCACAACACTATTTACATTTGCACAACAGGTAATGCATTTCTCAAAACCGTTAGTTATTTGTGCACATCCTAGTAGCAGTTTCTCATTCCCTCCAACAAATTGCAAATGCTTTTGGACATGCATCAACTGCTTTCCTACAACTCTCTGCTGTTTATAACATTATCATTTGTTTACGTCATGGCAGTCATAATTAACTAAACTTGTGAATGCTGAATAGTCACTCAATATAAAACTAATAGTTTCATTACTCGAGTCAACTTATCAAAATGTGTCAAGCAAATTTGATAAAAATCTTTGAATCTTTTTTTCCTGAAAATGTTTTCTAAATTAAACAATTTGATGAATGATTTACAGACCTGTGGTGTTGTAGGTTCAGTTGCTATATGTACTGCAATATAGTTTACAGTTGTGCAAAATGACCACATGACCACCCTTGGTACCCTTATGGCAGTCAAAAAGCAGGCCTGGTAAAGGTGACCAGTACCGACCCGTACCGTACCATACTGTACCACACAGTGAAAACGGGCCACAATATTACTTTTTATTGTATTTATTTATTATTATTTACTTTCTTACGTGTTGTTTGTTATTGTTAATTGTTGTGTAAATATTTGTTGGGCCAAATCTGTAAGTCATTGTGTTTGAATGACTAAAAAACAATAAAAAGTTCTAAAAGAAAAAATAAATTGCATTAAATCTGGTCATTTTAACCAAGGGTTTTATAACTATTTTGATCTACATTCCTTCTTATATTCTAAACTGCAATGTTGCAAATTCTTTGTTTATTCCTGTGGAAATATAAATTTCTATCATCTTATTCCAAATGAACAATAATCTACGTATAACTGAAAATTTATATTCTTTGGTTTTTAATTATATCATTTCATTAACATCCCAGCTAGGAGGGACATTTAATCTTTATCTCTCTGACTACAGGCTAAGCCAGTGATGCAAATGCTTTAAACGACTCTGTCTTTGTCTTCGGGTGTTGCTTTAAAGGGTCACGAAACACCAAAACACATGTTTTGAGCTGTTGACAGTCGTATATGTGTCCCACACTGCTAAAAACACTATTAGGACACCTATATTTCACTAAAAAGTGTAAATTGGTTGTTTTTGCGTTATTTCAAGCAAATTCGTACTTCCGGTTTGAAACGAATTTTTGAAGCTGCGTCACGGTCATGACATAATAGCGTTGTATTCCAGCGTGCAGACTGGGCGTCTGTGCCAGAGTGTGTCTTATTACGTCTTACAGTGTGATGCATTAATGCATGAGTAAGGCTTGGTTCAAACCAATCAGCGCGCTCTATTGTGCAACTTCATTAATATTCATTATTGTCACCGTGTTTACAGGACAGAGACGCCACGTTGTGTTGGCAAAACAAGCGTTAAGTGTTGCTTTTATAGTTTGCTGCAGTTAAGTTTCGTTTTCATTTTCTCTCTGTGAGAGCTCAGACTCACGTGTGGATTAACAGTGTACGCGACGCTCGACAACAATAACTTACGTGTCTAAGGAGGAACATTGTTTACCTGAGAGCTGTTCTCATCTGCAAACACTGAGATCCGGATTCGCTTGTAGTCTTCTCTTAATAAAGACGCGGCTCTAGTTGCTGGTGATTGTCCTGTCTCTAAAGATTTGGTAAGTGAGCGACCAGTGCTCTTTGTTTATTCAGTTTGTTCGTATCTAACAAACTATTGCACCGAGTGTAAACATGTTAGCACCACAACCACACTTTAACCTCGTGTAGGGTTTTACCGCATTTAGTGACCGGAATAACACACGCGGCTTTCTGACGCTACCTGCCGTGTGCATCTAAGTTTCTGGGAAATGCTGAGGGTTTTTTTTCTCTCATTCGCTGTGCGGTATCAAACATTGCATGAAAAATACACGCTTAGAGCAGTTCCTCCAATCAAATATCTTGTTTGTCGCGAGGGACATGAATGAATTCCCTGAATGAAAGAGCCAAACTGCAGTTAAAGTCCACCATTTAATGATTTGGCAAATAAATCGACTACAGATGTCCATGTAGGTTAAACACCATCACTTTCTACTGTGTGTGTGTGTGTGTGTGTGTGTGTGTGTGTGTGTGTGTGTGTGTGTGTGTGTGTGTGTGTGTGTGTGTGTGTGTGTGTGTGTGTGTGTGTGAATTTTGACTGAAACTCGCGCGTGCCCAAATAGACACTCCCACACCATCCCACTTTTCTTCCTCCGACACTCCCCCCTAAACAGAGCTGGACACGCCCACTTTTCTGACTTTTTCCAAAGTAGAGGTGTGAAAACACCCTGCTGAAATGAGGGGGTTTCATGGCCCTTTAACTTGTGTGGTCAGTAGCTGAGACGTTTTTTTAACACCTATGCCATGCTGACTCCAACTCTTAATTTGCATGCTTTGTTTAGCCATATTCCCTCATCCTAAGAACACAATATAGACATGACATCTTTGTCTTAATTCAGACTTGTGTGAGACTTGTGAGAGACTTGTGAAAGAACTTGCAGACTGCGGACCTCTAGTAGGCTCTTGCAGACACATGGACATCTTAAAGACGCTGTATGACTGCAGATTAACCAACACGTCTCAATAAAGGAATTCTGCTTGTTTCGAGTCTCCTGGACTGGGTTCTCTCTTGTTTTCACTCATTTATTTTTTTCCAACAATTCCCTACAATATCTGTTAATTCCCATATTTTCCCATTAGTTCACATGGAAATTTGCAACCCTAGACCCAATACTCACAAATTTAGGCATGGGTGCGGAGATGTTCTGGCTTAAACTGTTCAGACTGACATCACTTCCTCCTTGAGCAGACGCCACCAGCCTCAGAGCAGTGAAGAAGCCCTTTATATAGAAAAAGAAATTGTATATGTAATTAAAAAAAGCTTCAAGTGCCGAGAAATAGTATTCTGTAAAACTATTTTACAGTGGGCTTGGTAAAAGGTCACAACAACATTGCTATTGTAATAACAGTACATTCTGCATAAATGCATGTAGTGACTTTAAACCAAGCCCTAATCCTACATGTTGTTAACCAGTATTACTAAGTTTTCAAATGTTTGACTGCACTTGAGCAAGGACACCATGTAAACAAGCAGTTCATATTTACTATCAACGAAGAAAGAGTCTTTATTTGTGTTCAATAATGCTTTTTAGTTCATCTAATGCTGCTCTTTCTATTGAGCATTACTATTTATATATTGAAATAAGTACAAGTGGACGTCTTTGACTGATTTTTGTTCCAAATTCCAGTTTTATGTTATCATTTTTTTCTAGTTTTAGTGGTTTAACACATTTTAATTAGCACAAATTTCAGGTAAGTAGATAGAAGAGGCTGAATTGCAATGTCAAGAATAATGCAATAGAATTAAAAAAGGATACAAAAAGACATATTTTATAGTTACATATAATAGTAATAATAATAATAATAATAAAAACAAATTAAATTTTTTTCTGTTTTCTGTAAGATATTTAAACAAGTCATTGAGATTATTTACCAAATATTCTATTATTTTTATATATTATTAACCTATTTATTATTAACATTAATAATAATAATACCAATAATAATAATCATAATTCCTTACATTTATGTAGTGCTTTTCTGGACAATCAAAGCGCTTTTACACATTAAAAGCAGAACAGTCCAAAAAGTTGTTTATTTTAAATAACATAATTTCTCATAAATTTATTTAAAAAATGGATTTTCACCATTAAAAGGCATTTATTATCAAAAACAGTTGTGATCAAACTAATGCAAACAGATAAGAAAGTCTTATTTGTTTTATTTTGGCTAGAATAAAAGCAGTTTTTAATATTTTTTAAAATTATTTTAAGGTCAATATTATTAGCCCCCTTAAGCAATATTTGTTTTGGATTTTCTACAGAACAAACCACTGTTATACAATGACTTGCCTAATTGACCCCAACTTGCCTAAATAACCTAGTAAAGCCTTTAAATGTCACTTTAGGCTGAATACTAGTATCTTGAAAAATATCTAGTCAAAAATTGTGTGCTGTCTTCATGACAAAGATAAAAGAAATCAGTTAACAGAAATGAGTTATTAAAACCATTATGATTAGAAAATGTCTTCTTTACGTAAAACATAAATTGGGGGGAAAATAAAAAAATATATATATATATATATAAATAAAATATACAGGGGGCAAATACTTCTGACTGTATTTAATTGTGAAAATTTTAACATAAAACAACTTTACTTACCTTTTTATCCAAGTAACCTTTTCTGTCTGGATCGGACAGATCCCAGATCTGTAAAACACAACAAAAACATTTAGACATTTTGCACAACAGTTTCAATGTTGTTTCTGTGTTTAGTGACTCGTATCTCTCACCTGACCCAGTGTGCTGTCTGAAAGCCCGGATTTCTTTAAGAACTGAGCAGCTTCTGCAGCTCCAACTCTCCCAGTGTTTGCTGGATCCACCTGCAGAAAAAAGGGTCACACTTTACAATAAGGTTGTATTAGTTAATGTTGTTTAATGCATTTATTTACATGAACAAACAATGAACAATACATTTATTACAGTAGTTGTTCATGAAAGTTAATGTTTACTCACGAGGCATTTACTAATGTTAACAAGCATGAATTTGGATATTAATAATGCATTAGTGAATGCTAAACTATTTTTAATAATTGCTGTGCAAGGATTGTTCTTAATTAGTTCATGTTAGTAAATATATTAACTATGAAACATTGTTAAGTGTGGCCAAAAAAACAACAACTGCATCATTTAAAACGGCAGAAACAAAATATAAACAACATATGATCGCTAACAGCCAATGTATCAACATTAAACTGATTATAATAGTGCACAGTGTATATAAACACATGATATCAGGGCTTTTCTGATTTCACTTCAAGTACATCTCTTTCAGGAAGGAAACATTTACTGCATTTACCTGTCTGTAGAGGCTCTCATATGCAGGGTTTCCACTTAACAGCTGCACAAAATAGAAATAAAAATGAATTAAATATATTATGAAATAATAATAATATAATAACTTTACATTTTACGTTTATTTTTCATTTAATTCATTGTGTTGTAATAAGTTCTGGCCATGTCATGTCAAAGACAGATTTCACAGAAATGGGACATTAAAGTATAAAACCAAACAAAACAAAGAATGTATTCATTAATAATAATAATAATATTATTAATAATAATAATAATAATAATAATAAGTATAAAGTAACTATTTGCAATACATTTCCATTTATAAATAACATTATTAAAACAAACGATGAAAAAAACATGTATTTCGCCTACCTAAAGAGTTTGTACTTAATGTGTTCATTCATTCATTCATTCATTTTCTTTTCGGCTTAGTCCCTTTATTAATCAGGGGTCACCACAGCGAAATAAACCGGTAACTTATCCAGCGTATGTTTTGTGCAGCGGATGCCCTTCCAGCCACAACCCAGTATTGGAAAACACCCATACAAGTTAATGTTTATTTATTTATTTACTTTTTATTAGGGCTGTGCAATTAATCGAAAATCCAGTTTCGATTTCGATTACGGCTCATAACGATTATGAAAAACCATTAATTAAGATAAACGATTATTCCATCATATACCGCCTCCTTTCCAGTTCCACGTGAAAGTGACTGAAAGATGTGCTGTAATGTAACTTCTGCATCATGGGATGCGCATCATTCATATTTTTAAAAGCGCGAAAGAGCACGCACTGTTGTGTGTGTGCATGCTGCGCTTAGCCTCGGACAGTTATTGTGTGTGTGTGTGTTTGTGTGTGTCTGTGAGCGCGGTCCGCGCTAGCCTCGGACAGCAGAGCACACGCACATCTAACGCCATCCTAATGCGAGCGCTTTAATGGTCACATACATGCACGGTGTTTAGTGATTATTCATATTAATCTTCATTTGTCTAATAAACAAACAAGTTGAGAATCAAAAGACACGAGAAAGAGAAACCATATCGGAGCCGCACTATTCTTATAAGTGACAGCGTGCGATATTCCTGCTGCTGTTTTTATTATTAATCAAACAAAAAAAGGACAAAATCCACTCGCTGCTCCTGACTGAAAGACTTTTTTCTTACAGTTAAGATGCTTAAAACACAGTTTAAACAGATTTAATAGCTCATTTCTAATAACTGATTTCTTTTATCTTTGCTATGATGACAGCACATTATATTTTATTAGATATTTTTCAAGATAATAGTATTCAGCTTAAAGTGACATTCAAAGGCTGAATTAGAGTAAATAGGCAAGTCATTATGTAACAGTAGTTTCTTCTGCAGACAATCAAACATATATATTGCTTAAGGGGGATAATAATATTGACCATAAAATGGGTTTAAAATATTTAAACCTGATTTTTTTCTAGCTGAAATAAAAAAAATAAGCCTTTCTTCAAAAGAAAAAATGTTATAGGAAATACTGTAAAAAATTGCTCTCTTAAACATAATTTAGGAAATATTTGTATAAAAAAATAAATTCACAGAAGGACGAATAATTTTGACTTCACGATTATTCAAAACGATTATCAGTTGATTACAATTATGACCAAAATAATCGTGATTATGAGTTTTCCCATAATCGAGCAGCCCTAATATATATATATAAACATAAAAAATAAAATATAAAATAAGAAAAACAGTAGACAATAAATAAAGATTACTATCATCATAAATCCTTTTCAGGAGATACATTTGTACATCAAATTACATTTTGCTACCTCAAATTACATTGGTGATAGGTTTGTTGACGTTTATTTATAGTGTCATTTTATTAAAACTTTCTGCTTATGACTATGACGATACTTTCTCTTTTATGACTGAACTAAATACATTTAATTTTCATTCATCAAAACTCTGTAATCTCAGGAGATCACACACATTATTCTCCTATTATATACAAATATAAAATGCACATTATTAAATTTTGTTTTTACAGTGATGGGAAGGGCAGGGGAAGCTTTTGGCATCGATGATGTCACATGATGAAAACACAGGTTTCTGTCCTTAATAACACTGTAAACACACGGACTGCTAACATAAAACATATAATCAACATAAGACTAATGTTTCTAAATGAAATTATGATAGGAGTCAAAGAAAAAACAATGATCAGTTTTGTTATTGTTGCTTGAACAGCTGTCACGACATGGCTTTGTCCCTTATTAATCAGGGGTCACCACAGCGGAATGAACTGTCTACTTATCCGGCATATGTTTTATGCAGAGGATGCCCTTTGAGCTCCAACCCAGCACTGGGAAACACCCATACTTGTTAACGTTTATTTACTTTTTATTTATGATTTTACGATTTTTTTTTTACAGAACAACCCCTTAACAACAACTTAACACACTAGAGATGAGGGAATGAAACATATTAATGTAAAAAGAAAAAAGAAAAATAGTAGAAAATAAATAAATAAAGATTACTGCCATCATAAACCCTTTTCAGGAGATACATTTGTACATCAAATTACATTTTTTTTTACCTTAAATGCATTTGTGATAGGAAGGGCCACATGGAATCTGCGCAAGCAGAAATCCACAGATTTTTTGCCACTTATGCAGTCTATTTATTTTCTTGTTTAAATGTGTGTAAATTTATTTTTATTCCATTGTTAAGTAAATTTCTGTAATATTATTGTCTAATATAAAAATGTTCAAATGATTTATTTAGAACACAGTTTGTAACGTTAAATTTTCTGTTTTTTAGTAGATAAGTTATATGAGAGATTTTCTTTGTTTAACAATTAAGTGGATCTAAGTGGATTTGCATTACATACAAGTTAAAAACATATTCTATTTTATTTCATTTCATTTATTTTTTAGTTACTACACTCCCAAAATCATTCCGCATTTACTGCAGATTTTTTACAAAAATTATGCGCACAAATAGCAAAAAATGTCTGCAGATTCTGTCTGGCCCAAGTGATAGGTTTGTTGACATTTATTTATGGTGTCATTTTATTAAAACCTTCTGCTTATGACTATGACGATATTTTCTCTTTTATGACTGAATTAAATTAATGCATTTAATTTTCAATCATCAAAACTATGAAATCTAAGGAGATCACACACATTATTCTCCCAATATATATAAGCAATTTCAAGCAAACGTTAACCTTGCCATAAAAAAAAAATCAAAAAATATGGAATCCGTCTACGCTTTTTGTGTAGGCTTTTGTGTAGGCTTGTATTTTACAATACTTTAGAAGTACTCAAAAATGTCTCTGTCAATGTTTTCAAACAATTATATTTGATTTAAAAAGCCACACAAGTGGCAATTTCACATCTGTCACATCCATAACAGAGAGATTTCACATCCATAACAACACTTTTTATTCATAAACAAAAAATGTCAAATAAAATAAAGTCAATAATGTTTGATTTATAGAGAGACATACTTTATCTTTTTGATTAGCATTATTTCTTTTGGGTTGTGCTGTCTACAAAGTATATTGTTGTATACTGCAAACTCGCACACTTTTTTGGTCACATCCATAAGGCATGTTTATTTTCCTTATTTAAAGTACAAAACAGGTTTACAGATTGATAGTTTTCTGGTCCCTTAACTCTGTGGCTAGTTGAGGAAGATATAAACAGAAGTTTAATTATAATGTTAACATCTACTTTCTATGTGAATTTATGTTTTGAAATTTTACTGTAAATGTCACATCCATAATGCTGGAATTGCTCATATATATATGATGGGAAGGGCAGGGGCTGCTTTTGGCATCGATGACGTCACATGATGAAAACACAGGTTTCGTTCCTTAATAACACTGTAAACACACGGAGTGCTAACATAAAACATATAATCAACATAAGACTAATGTTTCTACATGAAATTATGATAGGAGTCAGAGAAAAAACAATGATCAGTTTTGTTATGATGTTTGAACAGCTGTCACGACATAAAGCGAGCCAAAAAGTTGCAAAACAGCGACTTTAACAGCACAATATGCTCAGTAATCGATTACTGGGAGTTATGAAAACCTATAAAAAGCCCCATCTAATAAATAAATGCGAAATATTAGCTAACAACCGTCGATAACAGCGCGCGTTTCACAGGAGGACCAAATACCCGTGTGTTTACACTTAAACCAGACGTAACAAGGTTTCCTATCACAACACAACATATATTATATAATTACTCTTAATATTTGTTGGATAGTATCATTTAAACAAACTTTTAAAGTCATTACCTGACTGAGTGGCGTGAGCGCCGCCATATTTCCTGATTCACGAGGACGCGCACAGGAGGGTCTCGTGAACGCGTACAGCCAATGTCAAATCGAGAAAGGTTGAGTTACTTGTTTATTAAAGATTAACTCGTTAATCTCGTTGATATTAATTTAGGATAAATTTACTAAGTTAAATTATTATGAAACATACGCAAACGTCGCACTTTGACAAATTTGACACAATTGTTATTAATGTAAAATACTAATCATGTAAAAGCAAGAAAAACAATAATTATATGTTTTAGTCACATTTTAAACCATAAGTTGTGTAATAATAAATATGTAAATAATGAAACAATTTGCAGTTGTTCACGCATTAGCCTAAATGCTAAGTTTAGTAGCTAAGCGTAAATTCATTTTAGGCTACAGTACGTGTATCAGAAGTGCTGCTAATTCCTTACAAAATAATTTAGTTTCTGTCTTAAGAAATCCGTAATAAACACGTCCAAACAGTTTACTTCACAACAATCTGCTGTAAAATGTCTCCATCTGGTGAATCAGTTTTGGAAACGCCATATCTGGGGAAACCAATGTGAAATGTCTGCCATTATAGTAAACACGAATTATATAATTGTATCAGCTTATCTTATTTGCAGTTCAAATTCTTATATTAGTTTGTCTGTAAAATAATTACAATCAACAATTATGCAGATATAAGCACTTGCTCACCTAAAGAAATCCATCAGAACTTAACAAACCGCAACTTTCATGTTGCTAGCACAAACCATATTGACTATCTACTACATATCATGTGTCAGTATTAAGCTACTTATGAAAATTAAGTTTATCTTAAGTTTATTTTAAGTAAGAAAAGTTCAAGCCTTCAATCAATACAACTGAATAGGCTCACTTTTTTGTGTACATTTTCAGGACTCTTATAGTGCAAGCTAGTACTCTAATCGTTTACTGTTATAGTATATTTGTGCTTTTTTTGTACAGCTTTCTTAGTTTTTTTTCCTATGCAGTTATTTTTATTTATTATTTTTGCACCTTATGTTTATTATTGTGCATTTAGGTATACCTTTTATTATTTGAAGTATACTCCTGTGAACACAACTAAAGAAGATCAGGTTCCACATGTTCAAAAAAGACTCAAAAAGAATACACGTTTAAATCTAGTGTACTTATGTGCGATATTAAATATGTCAGAAGCACATAGAAGAAAACATGTAGTAAACTATACAGACCCGTAACCAGCTTGGTGAAAGAGGTGGTTCTTTTTTTTCTTTTTTTTTGGACTTTTTGCAGTTATAAACCTCACTTTCCATTTAACTATGAGATTTCAATACTGCACTTTAGTGATTTTTTTTGCTGGATTAGCTAGTCAGATGTCATCATAACCACACTTTTTGATCTACTAAAAATATTTCCTAAAAAATTGAAGTACGGATAAATTAAAACAAGACTAATTTTTAAAATACAAATCTATTACATCATATATTAGGAAAACTAGCAATCTGGTAAAGTTTTAAAGTAAAAAAAAAAACTGTAGCCTACTGTCATTTATTAGACAAAAAACAAACTGGCCAGCACATTCAACTGTTCTCAGTCACAATTTGGCTATTTCAATAAAAAAATGAAAACATAATAATAATAATAATAATAATAATAATAATAATAATAATAATAAGGTGACGCAGTGGCGCAGTAGGTAGTGCTGTCGCCTCACAGAAGTGCAAAAAAGGTGGAGCTCAAGCTTAAGCTCCCCCTCTCTGGAGCTCACCTCTCCTCAAATGGCTCTGCAGCGAGCACCACTTGGGGCCCAGTTGGCGTTTCTGTGTGGAGTTTGCATGTTCTCCCTGTGTTGGCGTGGGTTTCCCCCCACAGTCCAAAGACATGGGGTACAAGTAAATTGGGAAAACTAAATTGCCTGTAGTGTATGAGTGTCTGTGTGTGTGGATGTTTTCTAGAGATGGGTTGCGGCTGGAAGGGCATCCGCTGCATAAAAACGTGCTGGATAAATTGGTGGTTTATTCCGCTGTGGCGACCCC